CCGCCATGTTCCCCATCCATTCAGAGGATCTTGTCTCCATCCTCTTCTCTTGGGTACTATGCATATGTGCATATCTTTTAGGTTCTTTCCTGTTTCCCAGACTCTCTATCAGTGGAAGTGCAGACTGGCACTATCCTGATCCATGTCTAAAATCCATATATTAGTGAGTACATACCATGTTTGTCTTTTTGCGACTGGGTTACCTCACTCAGGATGGTTTCTTCCAGTGCTATCCATTTACCTGTGAATTTCAAGATTCCATTGTTTTTTTTTCTGCTGAGTAATACTCCATTGTGTAAATGTACCACATTTTCTCTATCCACTCTTCAGTTGAGGGGCATCTAGGTTGCTTCCAGTTTCTGGCTATTACAAATAATGCTGCTATGAACATAGTGGAGCAGATGCCCTTGTTGTATGAATTTGCCTCATTTGGATATATGCCTAAGAGTGGAATTGCTGGGTCCAGTGGTAGATTAATTTCCATTTTCCTGAGGAATTTCCATACTGATTTCCAAAGAGGCTGTATGAGTCGGCACTCCCACCAGCAGTGGAGGAGTGTTCCCCTCTCTCCACATCCTCTCCAGCATAAATTGTCTTCGGTGTTTTTGATTTTAGCCATTCTGACAGGAGTAAAATGGTATCTCAGAGTTGTTTTGATTTGCATTTCCCTGATGGCTAAGGATGTTGAGCACTTTCTTAAGTGTCTCTTGGCCATTTTAGCCTCCTCTATTGAGAATTCTCTATTTAGTTCTGTACCCCACCTTTTCATTGGATCCTTTGGTGTTTTGGAGACTTGTTTCTTGAGTTCTTTGTAAATTTTGGAGATTAGCCCTCTGTCAGATATAGGGCTAGTGAATATCTTTTCCCATTCTGTGGCCTGCCTTTTTGTCTTTTTGACTGTGTCCTTTGCCTTACAGAAGCTTTTTAGTTTCAGAAGGTCCCATTTGTTAATTGTCGATCTCAGTGCCTGTGCCACTGGTGTTATGTTTAGGAAGTGGTACCAAGTCGTTGAAGAGTATCTCCCACTTTCTCTCCTAAAAGTTTCAGTGTGGCTGGATTGATGTTGAGATCTTTGATCCATTTGGACTTAAGTTTTGTACAAGGCGATAAACATGGATCTATCTGCAGTCTTCTGCATACCAGTACCCAGTTATGCCAGCACCATTTGTTGAAGATGCTTTCTTTTTTCCATTGTACAGTTTTAGCTTCTTTGTAAAAAATCAAGTGTTCATAGGTGTGTGGGTTAAAATTAGGGCTTTCGATTCGGTTCCATTGGTCTACCTGCCTATTTTTGTGCCAATACCAAGCAGTTTTCAGGACTATAGCTCTATAATAGAGCTTGAAGTCAGGTATGGTGATGCCTCCTGAAGTTCCTTTATTGTATAGGGTTGTTTTGGCTATCTTGGGCCTTTTGTTTTTCTATATAAAGTTGATTAATGTTCTTTCCAGGTCCTTGAAGAATTGTGATGGAATTTTGATAGGGATTGCATTGAATCTGTAGACTGCTTTTGGCAAGATTGCCATTTTTATTATGTTGATCCTACCAATCCAAGAGCATGGGAGATCTTTCCATTTTCTGGTATCTTCTTTGATTTCTTTCTTTAAGGACACAAAGTTCTTGATATACAGGTCTTTCACTTCCTTGGTTAACATTATCCCCAGATATTTGATGCTGTTTTTGGCTATTGTAAAGGGTGATGTTTCTCTGATTTCTTTCTCAGTCACTTCATCATCTGTATATAATAGGGCCACTGATTTTTTTTTAGTTCACCTCAACCCCAGCGAGTCCAGCTTCAGGTGAGGCATTTTCTTAAATAGTGATTGGTGAGAGAGGGCTCAGCCCATTATGAGTAGTGCCAATCTAGGGAGGTGGTCCTGTTTTCTCTAAGAAAGTAGGTTGAGCAAACCATGAGGAGGAAGCCACCAAGCAGCAATCCTCCATAGCGTCTAAGACAGCTCCTGCTTCCAGGTTCCTGATCTATTTGAGTTCTTGGATTGACTTCCTTTGATGATGGAAACATAAGGAAATAAAGACCCTCCTCACCAACTTGTTCTTGGCAGTGGTGTTTTATCATTCAGCAGAAGTACGCTGACTTTCACAGTGTCTGGTTGCATTGATCAGAGTTTTACAGCAAGTATCACAAAACAACTTGAAGTATCTTAAGCCTGAGAGTTCACTGGAAGTACGCAGGTGTCCTACAGAATTTAGGGACAGAAATATAATCAAGACTTTGAAAGAGATTGGAACTAGTGTCTGAAAAGTATCCAGGATGCAACAGTATGTTCCTGACCACTTCTCTTGGCATTGTGACCTCGGTCCTAGTTCCCTCACTAGAACTGCTTTCTCTGAAATATCATTTAGAAGATAGTTTGGTGTCTCAGTCTGTCAGTCCAGTCATAGCATCAGTAGATCTCAAAGTCCTGAAGTGAAGACCGGTCACAGAGTGCCAGTGTCAGCAGAATAAGACTCCAGATGTCTGTTCATGAACAGTCATTGAGTGTTCAGTAGGTTGAAGTTTCTTTCTATTTTCAACTTACAGGTCAGTGAGACATTGCAGAGCAGCACCCACAGTACCACTGCTGAGGAGCTGGTTCTCGTGAAGCAGCAGGTCCATGCTCTACATCAGCAGCTGGAGGAGCAAAACCATTTGTTGTTGGATTATCAGAAAAAGGAGGAGGAATTAAAAACTGAAATTACCTTTTTACAAGAGAAAATTAAAGTATATGAAATAGAAAAGATAGATGTCAGCTAGCTTGTTACAGCTTAGTATTTTTCTTATTCATGTGTATTATGCATGGGAATCAGAAACTTTTATAATTAAGTCAAATCTTTGACTATGGAATTTATTTGTTTCAAAAGCAATTAAGAATCTCATACTAACTGTATATGTCACACCAATATAGTTGTTAAGATAATACTGCCCACTAATGTATACCTTAATGTGGTATGCATATGTTACCTGAAGTCCTCAGTAGAAGCTAAATTTGTAACTCAAATATCTACCTTGTCCCCTCTGTAGTTTTCCCATCTATTTTAGCTATGAGACTTAAATTGTGAAAATGCTTTTGTCACAATGTAAAATTCTGTAGATCTATTACAAAATTTAAATACAGTTGACTGTTTATGCAAGTTAATTTCTACTTCTTGGAAACCTTTAGCTATTAAGTTTCTTTTGGATAGGGGATGGCATTATGTATCATATAGTTTGTAATTTTAAATTCTAAGAGCAACTCATCCTAAAAGCTTTGCTCTCACTTATTTTCAAGTGAGAAATCAAAATGTAAAAGTGATTTGTTGCTGGCTGCTGTACTTCCACACAAGAATTGGATTCAAATGGCTTGGGACAGGGCAGAGCTCTTGCACCACATTGCGATTTTCTATATAAAAATATGTTACTATCCATAGCAAATCAAAAGCACAATCTGATTAAAGCTGTAGGCTCATAAAATTCATTTTATGTGTTATGTGTGTCCTGAACATGAACAGACATCAATGACGTTGTTCCAAGTTCGAGATGATGTTTAAAAATTCAATTATAAGATTTTCAGTTGACAACCATTAACCTTCATGGGTAACTGTACATTTCAGGTCCTTTGCATCTTATCTTCTTTCCATGGACACATGAACCTAAAAATACAAACACTGGTTAGGACGTTATTAGTGATAAGATGAGAGGGTGTTAGCAATCAGACGTTGTGGCGATAGACTCGGATGGACTGAGATGCATCATATTGTAGTGCAGTTTATGCCTATGCGCTGCAGTTCTTCAGTCCCCTTCACCACGATTTCCAACATTGTTTTTTTTTCTTAATCGAGTGTTTATATTGAGTATGTTTAGAAGATCCTGCTGCCTCTTGAGTGCTGTGACTATCTACATGTAGGCCTGGCTCAGTGTATAATTTTTCTAGAGGGACCATAATTGTCAAAGGCTGAAGGCACTTTGGTGTTTTTCCATGGACTGTACTTAGACAGGTACTCTCAGTGCTTCTTTCAGAGGGCTTTCTTCTGTCTGAGCTTTGACATTTTTTCTTTCCATGTGTTATACATTCACTCAGAATCTCTTTGAGTTCTGTTTGTCAAGGACCTTTGTGATATAATTCACCTGCCTTTGGACATTTCTGGAGATTTTATTTCATGCTTAGTATTTATATCTGAAGTCTTTGCCCACAGAGAAAACGGAATAACATATCCAAAACTCTGCCTGAGCCTGTGCTCCAATTGGTGCTTTGATATGTTTGTGATATGCCTGTGCTTGGTGTGGTCGTCTGGGTTGAGCTGTTACCTACAGTTGTGTAATTGACCCTAAATGGGAACTGCACAAAATAGCTTTCGTGGGAATAACCACAACTTACTTATAAATCTATTTCTTGGAGTAGTCTGAGAGTGATTAATAGTATATTTAGGTGCCAAAAGATGAAATAATTGGGATATTAATCAGTTAACTTTTAAAGTGAAGATATAATGGGTTAGCAAAGATTTTAATTATTACCATTATTTACTTGTCTGGGGAGTGAACTCAGGTCATCAGAGCCATCTCATCAGCCCGCCAGTCTTTTCTCTTCCTTCTTTTCTTCATTTTTCTTGGCAGTGCTGGGATTAGAACCCTGGAACTCATACCTGCTAAGCAAATCAGGGTGTATAGTTTTAAATTAAAAATTCATTACATCTTTATTATTTTAAAATTTTTCATACAATATATTATTATCATATTCTTTCCTGTTCTCCCAGATGGTTCACACCTATATTAATTAAAATTTTTAATCACAGCAAATGTAATTCTGTATTTTTTCCTAAGAAGGTTTGAGCTGCTCTAGAACTCTTGTTTGTTCCTAAGTGTCTAGGTACACAAGCCTTACCATGGGGATGATTGAGGGATGGGCACACCAGTTACTTCTTTTAGAAAGATGTAAAAATGTGACTTCCATCTGCCTTTTGTTAATAAAGTTAAGCGACAAAGTTATCAGAAATCATTCTACTTTTCTTTTTTTTCCTTCTGAAGGAACAAGATAAGAAATTAGAAAATAACAACATCCAAGAATTAGAAAAACAAGCCATCATTGAAGATTTACAGGAAACAATAAAAGAAGAAGGAAATAAATCTGCTGCCCTGCAGAATGAGTTAGAAACTGCTGATAAGTTAGTAGGAGATTTAAAAGAACAGATTAGAGAAAAGGACCAAGAGACCCAAAGCTTAAAACTGGAGCTAGCCAATTGTAACGAGAAAGAGAAACACTACATTTTAGAAATTGAAGAGTTCAAGGGGAGAGTAGAAGAACTCCAGAAGAAAGATTACAAAGATAACCATACAGACACTGGCAAAGAGCAGAGCACAGAGAGAGAAACAAGGAGGAAAGTAGATCACCTCCAAGTGGAGCTAGATGAAATGTATGGAAGAGAAATAATGCACATGAAGGAAGAATTAATAAGACACACATCTAAGATGGAGGATCTTAAATCCCACCATGAAGGTGAAATGGAAACTATCTTGGCATCATATGCACGTACTACACTAGGTATGTGCAATATGTATAAAGAGTAAAAAGAGCAACTAGACGTATTGAACATGATGTTTGATTTCTAGTTTATTGAGATCTTTGGAGATCAGTCCTCTGTCAGATGGAGGGTTGGTGAAGATCTTTTCTCATTCTGTAGGGAGCTGTTTTTGTCTTGTTGATGGTGTTCTTTGCTTTACAGAAGCTTCTCAGTTCAGGAAGTCCCATTTAGTAATTGTTGCTCTCAGGATTTGTGCTAATGGTTTTCTACTTAGGAAGTGGTCGCCTGTGCCTATGCATTCAAAAGTAGTTCCCCCTTTCTCTTCTTTGATGTTCAGTGAGGATGGATTTATATCGACGTCTTTGATCCATTTGGACTTCAGTTTTGTGCATGGTGATTGATATGGATCTATTTGCATTCTTCTATATGTTGACTGCCAGTTACTCCAGCACCATATGTCTTCTTTTTTCCATTTTATATTTTTAGCTTCTTTGTCAAACATCAGGTGATCATAGGTGTGTGGGTTGATATCGCGCTCTTCTATTCGATTCCATTGGTCCACCTGTCTGTTTTTATGCCAATACCAAGCTGTTCTCATTACTATAGCTCTATAGTAGAGCTTGAAGTCAGGGATGGTGATGCTCCCGATGATCCTTTATTGTACAGGATAGTTTTGGCTATCCTGGGTTTTCTGTTTTTCTATATGAAGTTGAGTGTTTTCCTTTCTGTGAGTCTGTGAAGAACTGTGCTGGGATTTTGATCGGGATTGCACTGAATCTGGAGATTACTTTTGGTAGGATTGCCATTTCTACTATGCTGACCTACCTGTCCAAGAGCTTGGAGATCTTTCCATTTTCTGATATCTTCTTAAATTTCTTTCTTTAAAGACCTGAAGTTTTTGTCATACAGGCCTTTCACTTGTTTGGTTAGAGTCACAACAAAGATAATTTTCTGTTATTTGTGACTACTATGAAGGGTGATGTTTCTCTGATTTCCTTCTCAGCCCGTTTGTCATCTGTATATATGATGTCTACTGATGGTTTGTTTTTTTAAGTTAATGTTGGATCCTGTTTATCACTTGTAGAAATGCTATGTTAGACATTTTTGGGATCATTTATGTATACTATAATATAATTAACAAATAGCGAGATTTTGACTACTTCTTTTCAATGTATCTCTTTGATCTCCTTTTGTTGTCTTCTTGCTATAGCTAGAACTTCCAGTGCTGTGTTCAATGAATATGGCAAGAGTGCACAGCCTTGTCTTGTCCCTGATTTCAGTTGGATTGCTTTGAGTTTCTCTCCACTCAGTTTGATGTTGGGTGTTGGGTTACTGTATATTGCCTTTCTCTTGTTTAGGTATTTACCATTAGGAATGGGGTACTTTTGAAGTCTCCAGTAGAATTTCTGCACTGAAATAAGTCAGATTTCAAGAGTCACTTAAAGAAGGATGCCAGGTTTTCATTTCAAGACTTCTTTGGTTTATCAATTTGGTAAGATTTTACTTGGATTTGCATGCATTGTTTGTGTTGATATGGTCTTCAGATAGCCTGTCCAGTGTTTTCTATTAACAGTTGATTATTGTATTAGTAGGTAATAAAGCAGTTTAGTGCGTATTGATGACTGTTTCTGAAAAGAGGAGAAGAGAATGGACTGCATTTTAAAAAGTTTTAATTAATTTATTAATTGATTGATTGATTTTTGTGGCACTAGGCTGAAACCCAGGGCTTGCACATACTAGTCAATGCACCCTACCACTGAACTATGTCCTTATGCAAAAAAGTGAAGACTCATTAGTGGAAGTTTTATTTGAGGTTTGCATTGATGTATTTCATGGATAACAATATAGATGTATTTCTTGTGTTTGAGTGTAAGTCGCTGCTGTACACTCTTTGAGACAGTACATTGCACAATAGAAGAAATTGGAAGAAATTAAAATGTGTCTTGTTTTAGGGAAGCTTGCAGTTGGATTAATTAACTCTGACAGTATTGCTTACACATGTACAGTGAATGGCTCATATATGCTATATCTTCTGCTAGGTGAAGACAAAGAGCCTATACAGGTGCTCATTGGACGACTTCAAAAGGCATTGTCTGAGGAGTGCTGCTCTGTTTCAAAGGTAAAATGTTACTTTAAAAGTGGTTTTGGACTAGAGGTGCCAAGGTTTAAATTGCTGCTGATTCACTGAGCAGAATCATCCACCCATGTGGATTTCCCTAAATCCCTTATACATAGAACTGTACTGAAAAAGCATTCCTGAGTTCTAAGATTTAAATGAACACTTGGCTTTTTTTCTGATAGCCATTTGGGAACAAAAGTAATCAGTGCTAGGGATGTGACTTGGTGAATCATTGCTTGCCTGTTATGTTTAAGGTCTTGGATTCAATCTCTGTCAGAACAGGAAAAGGACAAAGAAACTCAGATCAGTTGCATCTCCAGAAGAGCAGATGGCATAAGCATTGCTCTTGTCAGAGAGGTGATAGTTAACCTTTCTGGGACACAGTTTGTTCATTGATGGTGCCGTGGGATAAAATGGTACCTTTGTGGCTGTGCTGAGAAGTTAATATGTGCAATCACTAACTGACAGTGTGGTTTAACTTTAAAAAGTGCAAGAAAGAGTAGCAATAAATAACTGGCTTTTAAATCTTTCAAATCATGATGGTTATTTCCAGGTGTGAGAGACAAAGGTAAAACTAACTTAGATGTATTATCAAATCACAGAACATGAAATGTAATTTTAAATGGTAGTGGGGTTATCAGTTACTCTGCAGAACATTGTGCTGGATATCTTTAACTTTGTATTTATACAGATCACAAAAACATGCTTGCATATTATAGAAAGGCCACTAGTATAATCTCTCCTTGATAGATTTTCATTTTGCAGACCTCTCTAATTGTCAATTTTGAACTTCTCCCCTTCTTGTGTTTGTTCCAGGATAGTTGATACAGTCATGAGATATTTTCAAATTAGAGAATAGAAGTAGGAGCCATGCTAGAGTGTAAACACCAACACTTATTGATATATACAATTTTAACAGGAAACAGAAAATGACATCATTTTGTGTATTAAGATTATCAGATTTTTCCTGATAAAAGAATAATTTCATGTCAAAGAGAAACATGGTTATTTTGCAGATTGAATTCATATGTGGAAGAAGACGGAATTAAGATTCCATTCATATTCTTTTGATCTTTGCCTTTAGGTTAATGATGTTTTAATAGTATTTAGAAGAAATCAAAATTTTATTTTGAAATAATTCACTTTTGTTAACAGAGTATGCAAGCTTTTCTTGATGAACACTGTTGTCCTTTAAACTGTGAAATGAACATAGAAGAGAAAGTGAATTCTTTTGTATACCATGCAATTTCAAGGGTGACCTTGCAAGAATATAGATACAAAGTTGAAGGTAAAAACCTTACCATACTGTTAAACACTATTCTCTTGGCGTAAGTCAATTGCTTATAAACTTAGTTTTAATCACGACTTAATTAGAGATAAATTTTCTATCTTAGTATCTTATCTTTAGAGATGAAATTTATTTATGTAAATTAATGTACACTTTCATTCTTCCTAGTGTAACAATCATACAATGCACATAATTGAGACGTCCTTATTTTCTTTGTCTCTTTCACATCTATGTCTGTATTCCCACTTATTTCTTCATTCTACTTCTTTCCGTTAACGGTTCTAACTGTAGCTCCTTTTAAAATCTTAAAGAAATTATTGAGTTTACTAAGTTTAAATTAATGGTTTATAATTTTAGAGTGAATGACAAAACCATTGAGGAGTGAGCTACAGTAAGAAATATCCTCTGCCTGGTGTGGTGGAGCAAGCTCGGAGCTAGGAAGGTGGATCCCTGTGAGTTCTAGGCTGTAGGGTCTGCATAGCAATTCCAGGCCTCCCATGGCTAAACAAAGAAAGACATAACATTATTCATTCGTGGTTTTAGGGTTTTTTTGTACTCAACAAATTCCAACTTGAATTTCTTGGTGTTCCTACATAGTTGTATGTTCGCAGTATATTTATTTATATAGGTAATGAACAACCCCCCAATAAGTAGCTACAGAATGTATATTGGGATGACGTTTTCAAGTTAATGTCATACCACTTATTTCATAGTTATGATTTAAAAAAATTGATTACTAGATATATGTGGTTTTATTACTTCCAGATGGCTTTCTAGAGTTGTAATTAGGTAAATCATAATTGTATAAAGGTAAACTTATACAGTGAAGAAAAATGATTGTAATTGCTTTTTCTCATCCAGAGTTTCAAGAAGCCATTCAAAACCTTCTGAGTAAAGTCACAGATGAACACAACAAGTTTGTGACACTGCAGATGCAGTTAAGCAAGTTTTGTGAGGTAGAAAATATGGTATTTGCATTTATTTTATTAACTGCTGTTCTGTTAGTCAAGAAATTCTAAAATAAGTGAATATAGAAAAGGCTAGTAGAAATATAGTAAACATTTATATGTTTCTCTTAGAACATTTATATTTGTCAGCTGAAAAAATTTGGAGAGGTTGAGTAATGTGTATCTCTCTGAGTCATGATGAAGTGTACATGAATGTCAAATATTAAGCAAATGAGACAATTGTATTTAATTGTGTAGATATTTTGCCTCTGGAAGAGCAGCCTGTGTTCTTAACCTCTGAGACATCACTGAAGCCCCCACAAAGGCACTCTATCAGTGAACAATACCCTCAGCCTGTTACATATCTTAAGAAATTAAGGCAATGGGTCTATCTTAAATTTTAAAGAAGATGATTAGTTATTTTGCACATAACTCAGTATTATTACATAGTATCATCTCTGTAAGTTTTCTTCTGCTATAGTTAGTTTATAATGTGTTCTTAAAAATCAGGTAAGATGACATGTACAGCATAATATAACTTAATAGCCACGTCACAGAACTAAAACACACACTGTTGAATTTCTAATTGTATATTCTAATTTACAAGTTGTAGAAAAATATGACAAAAGACATCTTCATTAATTTGAGATAGTTTTTGGCCTTCAGTTCTGTTAAAAGTTTTAGATAATTGATCAAGATTTTTAGTTGTATATAGGGCTAGGTTCCATCACAGCAAAAGCACAGGCAAAGGCATCCTTGGAAGGACTGGAAATGATGCAGGGCCAGAGTCCCAAAGGAAGCAGGTGCACATGTCCTCAGTATGAGTGTAATAACACGTTCAAATTGTGTACCAACAGTGCACATTTGCATCTAGGAGTCCAAACTTTTCTATCAAGTGCAGATAAGCAGCCTCCACAAGTGTTCTCATGGACTAGACCTTAGTGCTTTTCTATGCAGCAATGTTGCCCATGCTAGCACATGGAGAGGTCTGTATTGGCATAGAGAGCTCTTTGCTAGGTTTCTCAATTACTGCCAAGAGAAAAGCTCATAAGCAGACCATTCTAAAGACAGACATCTAGCACTCTCTCTACACTCTCCTCTGCACATTGAGTAATGAGTGAGTTTTTCACTGCCAGTTATCTGTGCCTTGTGTGAGGCTTTTGCTCTTTTACTCTTCTGGCTTTTGGACAGCCACCATCACAGACTCAGATGTATTCTTAGTGATGAGGCCCTGGCCTTACGTTGACTGTTTTTGCCCTTCTGCATTTTCCTCTGGGCTTTTATCCTTCTTACTTCTGCTGTGTCATACTTTCCTTCTTATCCTGCAGCTTCCTGGCTGTGGTGGCAGGGTGGATGGGCTGCTGAGCCCTGATGTCCTCCTCTCCTGGACCTCCTGCTGCTCCACCTCCTCAGTTCTCCTTCTGATTACACTCTGCCTGCCACACCCTCCTATCCTTGCTCCTACTTTGCTATTGGCCATTCAGCTCTTTATTAGGACCACAAGGGGTTTTAGACAGACACAGTAACACAGCTTCACAGGGTTAAACAAATGCAGCACAAACAAAAGTAACACAGTTTATATGCTACCACAATTAAGACACAGCCAACGCCAAGTCCTTGCTTATCAGGTCATAACAACACTACACCAGCATCTCAGCCAGAGGAACTGAAACTCTCACTCCTGGGCTTAGTTGAATGATTTTCCTTTTCTAGTGGTACCCATCCTCCTCAAGTCTTTCTTACTTGTTCCTGTTTCTTGTTACTGTTGGTTTAAACGTCACTTCCTTATGTCATCTTCTCTTGCCTTCCTAGGCTTTGACATTTTTTTTCGTATGTTCTCTAAGTTTCTTTTAGCGCATGTGCCTGGATAGTCTTCTCTCTTTCATGTTTCAAAGCTCTCTGTTAAGCATATGTTTGTATCACATTACTTTTCATTGTATTATAATTGTTTATTGATCTACCTCTTCCACAGACTCCAAATATTTTTTTTTGTATATATACAATTTTTTCTTTAAATTAGAAACCGTCTTGTTTTACATGTCAAACCCCAGTTTCCCCTCCATTCCCTCCTCTGCTGCCCCTCACCAACCCCCACTCTCATCCCCTTTCTGCTCCCAGGGAGGCTGAGGTCTTCCATGCAGTGTCTTCAAAGTTGAAGACTCCAAACTTTCAAGTCAGAGAATTCTGTGCTTATTCATTCTTGTTAGCACAGCACTTGGATTGCACATGGTATAGGCTCAGTAGGTATTTATGAATGAATTCAGTAAAGATATAAAATATTAGGCTGTAAATTGTATTATCTGGTGTTTTTTATTATTTCCCCTAGAAGTGAGAGGTAAGATTCCCCTGTTTCAGTGTCGTCAGAAGATGGAGAAAGGCTCAGTATAGTGCTTGCTGTGCAAGAAGTGGACCTGAGTTTAATCCCTCCAAACTCATAGCAATGTGGCAAATCCCATAATCCCACTTTGAGAGAGGAAGGGACTGGAGGATCCCTGGGGCTTGCTGGCCAACCAGGCTAGCCTAATATAAAAGTTCCAAGTGTGTTGAGAAACTGAAAGAGAAAACATTTGCTGTTGACCTCTGACTTCCATGTCCATGCACCCCATATTAATTGTATATGCAGAAACATGCGTGTGCTCACACAAACACACAAGGTAATAAGAAGCATTCAGGAGGTAGGCGTGTGGTAGAGGACACCTATTAGAGTAGTGACCAATTAAAATAGTCTCTTAAAACTCTTTTCCTTGTAATTTATATGTACTTTACTTACCTAGCTTTATTTTCCCTTTTCAAAACAAGTGTAGGTGATTAAAAAAATCACACTTAATGTGAAGTTCTTTAATACTTTTAATATAGATTTCAATGTCCCTGATTGGACCTTCATGTCATCATTCTTCTGTTTTCAATAGATTCACAGACAGCAAACAGATGGTGCGAAACTTGAGTTTGCAGAGGAAAATGTGGCAGAAGAGGAATCAGGGATTTTGTCGGTTTGCTCTCAGGCTGGTTTAGAGAGCATTGGTAAATTTTAAGTGTAGACCATGTTACAGCACTTTTATAGCCAATGTTTAAAAAAGTGCTTTCCTTAAAACCTGTGGTTGGGCAGTGGTGGTGCACGCCTTTAACCCAGCACTCGGGAGGCAGAGGCAGGCAGATCTCTGTGACTTTGAGGCCAGCCTGGTCTGCAGAGCAAGTTCCAGGACAACCTCCAAAGCAATACAGAGAAACCCTGTCTTGAAAAACCAAAAAAAAAAAAATAAAGCAAACAAAAAACTCTGTGGTAATTTGATGACCTCTCATGGTCATCTTCTTGTTCAGTTTTCTCATCTTTAATGTGAAAGTCCAGACTCCTCATCTCTTTTGTCCTTATCATTTCTCACACACTATGTTTCTAAATTGTTTGAAACATAATGATGTAAACTTGTTGGAGTTAGTGATTCTACAAACAGGAGGATAGAAAAAGTGTTCTTGAATCACACTGGGTTTTTTATGAGAAGAATAAGTTATCACTAAAAGAATGTTTTTAAAGAATCACAAGTATTTTTAATACACACAAGTATTTCTGCATTGTCATAAAGAAACTTGGACCAAGGTGTGCCTTTCCTTCTGTTCCGATGACACAGACACTGACATCCGACATGAGAGTGAGCTGTCTTCTCGGCCAGAGGGTGAAGACAGTAAAAACCATGAAAAGCAGCTTCAGGTGTTAGAGAGCCCTGTCGACACCTTAGAGCAGCAGCTGAAAGCAACTGAAGCTCATTATGGAACAGAGATCCCGATGGTTCAGGGAAGCATTGAGACCATCCATGGACCGTCAGCTCATCCGAGGTATCCATCTGTGTGCTGTCTGTCATGCATCAGTATATACAAAGAGGTTATTTTAAGACTGAAATATAAGTTGATCAGAGACATAAGAAGGAATAAATTGGAGATCATTCTGTGACTTTTAGATGTGTGAAATAAATGTGACCCGAAGATATTTACCATGGGAATTTTAGTTGCATTTTCATAAAGATGTTGTTCTGCAGGATTAGATGAGACAATGAGTGCACATTTGTTGTGTATTCTTTGCAGCGTCTTCACTACTTTGACATTGCAAGTACCTCTAGCAGTGTTAGATAGATAATTCCACTGGGTTTCTTTCACTTTTTGATGGAATGCCTGACAATCAGCAATGTCTAAAGCAAACCTGCATCTTTTCGAAGTGTGCCTTTCTTAGCTCTCTCCATCTGCCTTGACTCCTCCTCTTTTCCTCATACCTGTCTTCTCATCTATGAAAAATTCCTGTTCTCTCTGCTTTCACAGGTCATGGGAACCACACCATTCTTCACCACCCACTAGTCCCTGCTCTTTCGTGAGGACTAATTATTCTAATTCTTCCTTAGAGTCTCTTCTCTATACAGGCAACTGAGGGCCAGCACTATACTCCTCAAAACTTCACACAGACCACGTAAATTCAGTGTTATTCTGTCCTGCACAATAGGTTCCTGTGACCCCCTTGAATATTCTCACATACTCAACTGTCGCTGTTCTCAGATTGAGAATCCTCCTTGGAGTCCTTAAATATATCAGTCTGCTTCTGCTTAAGTATTTTGCCTGACACTTTCTTCCACCTGTACTGCATTCAACAAATCCTGACCTGTCCAACACCTTCACGTCCCTTGAATCCTCACTTATGAACATAGTCATGAGGGCTTTTTGGTCACCCTAAATGAATTAGTATTGATTCTGATGAAGAAACATAAATCTGTAGGAGGAAGGGAGGAGTCTTGTGTTATTCGATAGTTGATTGATTCTGAGGATTTGAAATTCCTTGCACATAGTAGGAGCTTAGTCTATCCTTGATAAATGTTTAGTAATTCACTTCGGGATGTATGCATGACCCGTAACTACTGTTATGAAAATGAAGGTTTATTCTGACTGTTAAAATCTACCGTTTAAGAACATAAGTATTCGTGGCACTTGTCAATGGAACCACAGACTGGCTTTTCAATTGTGGTGGAAGACACTGAATGATTGAAAGCTGTCTTATTCTTCTTTTATTTAAGAGCTGTATGTGGCCTTTGGAGCTGCTTACTCATTTTGTCAGTCCTGTAAATCCCTAGGTTCTTTGAGGCCTTCTCAAGTTTCCACACATAAAAAACACAAGAGATTCTTCAGTTAGTTTATACTTTTAAAACATGTATCACAAGAATTATTTAATTATATCTTTGGAGTCAGATTAACTGTGAAATCTCACAATTTTGTGTATTTAACAAGATAACTCACGCACCAAATCCTCGGAATGGCATTTAGAAACTACTGCAGTCATCGTTTTGAGCAAGAATTCTCTGTTAAACAGTCAGGGTATTTCAAACAGTCTTTCATTAGTGATTAGTTATGATTAATCTTGAATTGGTGATACTTTTTCTAATGTGTGAAGAAAAGGTGGCAGTGTTGGGGTGGTGACCTGAGAACATCAAGAAGCTGCTTTGTTTTTTCTGCTTTTGGGGTTGAGCCTGCTTACTGACCTCTCTTACACTTGTAATTAAGAGCTTAGTATCCTCTGCAATCAGACATTGTTAGTTTGACAAAAACAGAATCTTTATTTAACAAATATTTAGAAGCATCACACCAGAGCCTTTTAGACAGATATTTGAGATTGAAACATCCATGAATTTCAGAGCATTGGACCTCTGAAATAACTTTTGGCTGTGTCTGTGATCATGAATAGATTACAGCACTTCTAAAAGTAACAGAGACAATAATATTCTCCGTCGGGATTTTGAGGATTAAATGAAGCAGAAATTGTGAAGAGTATTGAGTAGATACTGTGTAAGGATGATTAGATTTACAATGAAATTTCAAAGTTTCTGCACAGCAAATGAAATTGTTAGCAGAGCAAGCATGTAGCCATTAGAATGGGAGAAAATCTTTGCCGTTGAGGACTAATATCCAGCACTGAGAAATAACTGGAAAAATGTAACCCCCAAACTGCCAGTTAACAAACGGTTAATGAAATGAACAAATAGTTCTCAAGAAATAGAAATGATCAATAATAAGTATTTGAAATATTTTGCCACATCCTCATCCTTCAGGGAAATGGAAATTAGTGAGATTCCCCTCACCCCAGTCATAATGGCTAAAATCAGGAAATCAAATGACAAATGCCTGCATGGAGGTGGGAAAAGAGGAAGCCTTATTCACTGATGGTGGGAGTGCAAACTAGTGCAACCAGTATGGAACTCAATACAGAGGTCTCTTAAAATTTAACAATAGAGCTAATGCATGACCCAGTTATGCCAATCCTGGACATACAGCCAAAGGACTCCATATGCTACCTCATATCCGTGTTATTGTTTCCCTAACCGCAGTAGCAAATAGTGCCATCAACCAGATGTCTACCAACAGATGACTGGGTAATCAATGTGTGCAGCATCTTTAACAATTCAATTTTGCTAAGTTGTAGAGAAAATATAAGATTTGTGAGAAAATTAATGAATCTGGGAAGGATAAAATTAAGCAAAGTGGTCCAAACTCTTAAAGACAAAACGTTCTCCCTTGAATGCGGATCTAAACTTCTAATGGCCATGACTGTGTGTGAGTGTGTGTGTGTGTGTGTGTGTGTGAGACAGAGAGACAGAGACAGACAGACAGACAGACAAATTTGGACAGAGAGAGACACACAGAATGGGAGAAAGAGAGAGAGACAGGGATACAGAGAGGAGAGAGAGTGTGTAAATGATATAAGGCTTAATAAAATAGTGTCTGGTCAGGCAGTGGTGGCAAACTGCTTTTATCCCAGCACTTGGGAGGAAGAGGCAGGAGGATGTCAGTGAGTTCGAGGTCAGCCTGGTGTAAAAGGAGAGTTCCAGACAAGTCAGGTCTGTTACACAGTGAAACCCTATCTGGAACTTCCACCCCACCCCCAAAAAATAGAGTCTGAGAGCACAATGGATTGCTGGTGAAGATGGAGGAGGGGCAAACGAAAGCCTTGTGACTTGAAAGCAGAAAGGAAATGAAGAGGGGAAAGGGCTTAAATGGAAGGTGAGGACAGAGTGAAGCCAATGAGGAGAATCTGCTAAAACACATTTTGCTTGGAAGTGCCAGAATGGTACTGAATGCTTTAAATATACCAAGTTAATAATTAATTTTTCAAAAATGAATGAGATGTATATATAGTGCCTTTTCTCAGGCATTTCAATGTAATTATTTAGTGAGTATCATTCACAAGATAATAATGGTTGGGTCTATAAACTAGTGACATAAGGAAAGTTCTGGAATTTAAGGCCACAGCTGTATAACACTTTCATTGCACATTGCTGTGATGTTGCCAACTAGAATACCAGGAAAGCAGAATAAGGGATGTTTACAGATACCTGTGATAGACATGTTATTGGAAGTATAGAGGACATACCAGGACCCGTGTGTTTTGGTAGAGAATATGGAACTTGACTTCACTTATATAAAGGATGAAACCAGATAGGAAGGGACCAGTAGACACACCTGGTCGAAAGAGTAGCAGTGAATTCAGTGTTAACCAAACTGGTCTTTTTCAATTTGGGATAAATACCTATAAAGCTTACAGAATGAAGTCATTGCTCATGAAGGGTCAGGATTCCAGGTATTGCACTTAACAGCAATTAGGATTTTATCATAGAGAAATAGGATGTAAGCGTCAAGATATACTTTGTGGAATTTGATATTGTAGCATTATTTATATTACTGAATATTTGAAAGGGCTAGATGCCATAAGAATTTAAGTGATAAAGCTAGACAATGACATCACTTGTGTATGGAAAGTTTTAGACAGAACAAAATGTGAAAGAGAATAGGAATAAGAAGAGTAGAGCAGAAAAGAAAAAGGAAGAGATTGGAAAATTAAAATGGAGATTGGAACCAAGAAGGCAGTATAGATACACGTGAATGGGGACTGGGTAATTTTATTTCCTAAAAATGAAAACTATAGTTTTCTACCTTTTTCCTCTCCTGTGTTCCTAAATGTTCATGTTGCTTTATTTTTATTATGGATATTAAAATTTTAGAAAAACATAAATTAATGGATGTTTGTAGAACAATGTAAAATAGAGACACATGCTGAAGACTACACAAAGAGTAGAATAAAATCAGCAAACTCCAAAATCCCTATGTAACTGGGAACCGTGTCTTCTGCCCATTTACTTCATTTCCACTGATAGTCTTCATTCTAAATGTTGTTTTCTGTGTGTGTGTGTGTGTGTGTGTGTTGTGTTAAATATATTTTAGTAAAATTGATATTTTCGGTCTTTTCACTAGATAATGTATTTTTAATAAATTTCTAAAACTAATGCCTGTATGAATATCTTAATATACTTTATAAAATGGTGTAAAGTTTATCTGTTGATCTGAAAAATTCTCTTGTCATTATATTACTTTTAAATATAAAATTTAGACAAAAATATGACTTGTGTTACAGTATCTGTAAGCCTTGGCGTATCATGTTTCATGTTTTGTTTCCCCCTTTCCCACTATATGAATGTATGCTATAAACATTATAAAATGACTCAAAACCCTTATTAACATTAATCACCATCTTTTGTTTATATTTAGTGTTGATTCAATGCTATTCAAAGACAGTGTTTTACAGAAAACTGTTTGCCGAGGAAACTGTCGACCTGACCACGTCATCATAGTAATAGAGGTATTATTTTTTCCCATCATTTTTAAACATTAAATACCCTGAGTTTTCTTACTATCATGTTTATAAATGTGTTTTATTAACTATTTATTCAGGAAAATAGATTTAGCACATTTAAAGACTTGCATTTTTTCTTAGCACATGTAAAAGTAAACATGAGGACTTGTCTTTTCTTTCCTATTTTGCTTTTCGGTCGAAGGGGTTTTTTTGTCCTTTTTTTATTAATCTTTTTCCACATGTTACTCTCACTTCCCTCTCCTCCTTCCCCAGCCCCCCAGTCCTGAATCCACCACCCCACTCCATCCCCTCTCCACTCCCCAGGGTGAGTAAGGGCTTCCATGCGGGATATTTAGAGGCTGTCATATCATCCTCAGAGGGGCTTGGTCCTCCCCAATATGTTCAGGCTGAGACAGCATCCCTCCTATTGGAAAGGGCCCCCAGAGTCTATTTGAATGCCAGGAATAAACACAGCTCTACTCTCGAAAGTCCCATAGCTTGCTGAGGCCTCTTCTCTGAAACCCAGGTTGGGTGGGGGGATATCTGAATCCATCCCATGGTGGCCTCTCATGCATAAGTCTGGGATTCAAGTGCTCGCTCTTGTTTAGGTCAGCTTCCTCTGTGGGTTTTCATCAGCCTGATCTTAATTCGTTTGCTCATCACTCCTCTTTGCAATTAGGTTCCAGGTGTTCAGTTCAGTTTTTAGCCAAAGGTTCAAGGATGGCATATAAGGTAGTCATCAATATCTTTATCAAGGGAGGGTACTTAAAGTAGCTTTAATTCCAGTTGGTGTCATTCTTGTAGATCTGTGAATATCTCACTAGTGCCAAATCTCTCCTCCAACTTATAATGGCTCCCTCTATTACGGTATCTCTCCTCCTTCTCTCCTCTATTCTTACCCTGGTTCAAACTTCCTGCTCACCCATGTCCTCCCCCTCCTCTTTCCCCATTCCTTTCTCCCATCTCCTTCTGGCCTCCCCAGCCCCCCAATCCAATTAGGAGATCTCATTCCATAAGCCTTCTCCGGGTTACCATGCTTATCTCTCTTAGGGTCGTCCCTGCTTCCCATAACACACACTCAAACACACACACACACACACACACACACACACACACACACACACACACGCACACACCTTATTCTTGGGAAATAAGTTTCATTACTCCGGTCTTCCTACTGTGGGGAAGCAGAACAGGCCATCTTTTGACCAATGTTCAGGAATCCCCAAGATCCTGGTCCTGTTGCTATAGGATAGGTTCTCAAGTTGCACAGGACATATCGTCATAATACTCTTGGAACAGTGCATGCCCCACAGGGAAACATCCCATCTCCTTCTGCCCTCCCCAGCTTCCCCAATCCAATTAGGAGATCTCGTTCCATAACCCTGCTCCGGGTTACCATGCTTATCTCTCTTAGGGTCCTCCCAGCTTCCCAGACTCTCTGGCGGTGGGATAGCAGGCTGCAACGTCCTGCTCCATGTCTAAAATCCATATATGTGTGAATACATACCAGATTACCTGTACTCCACAAAATTTGAAAATTTAAAGAAATGGGCAGTATTCTGGATAGATATCACTTGTCAAAATTAAACTAAGAAGACATAAGCAGTCTTAACAGACCTATTACCCCTAATGAAATACAAGCAGTCATCAAAATTCTCCTAACCAAAAGAAGTCTAGGCCCAGATGATTCATTGAAGAATTCTATAAGAAATTTGATGAAGAGTTAATTCTAATACTACTCAAAGTGTTCCACACAATAGAAGCAGGAAGTTTGCTGCCAAACTCTTTTTATGAAGCTACAATTACCTTGGTACCCAAGCCTCACAAATACACAACTAAGAAAGTAAACTGCATACCAATTTCCCTCATGAAAATTGATGCAAAAATACTCAATAAATTACTAGCAATTGAATCCAAGGACACATCAGAAAAATCACGCACCATGATCAAGTAAACTTGTTTTTTATTATCTAAGTATGTTAAATATTGTTTAAACTTTGTCCTGATTTATTTCATTTTGATTAAAGTTCAGTGACATTATCTCCCCTGTTCCTTTTCCATTCTTAGGTTTTCCCCATATGCCCCTCTTACTTCTCAGATTCACATCATTTTTTCCTTATTATCATAACACACACACACACACACACACACACACACACACACCTTATTCTTGGGAAATCAGTTTCAGTACTTTGGTCTTCCTACTGTGGGGAAGCAGATGAGTGTTCAGGAATCCCCAAGATCCTGGTCCTGGTGCTATTGGATAGGTCCTCAAGTAGCACAGGTTGTATCATCATAATACTCTTGGGACAGTGCATGCCCCACAGGGAAACATCCAAGAGCTCCACTCTTCAAATCTCCAGTAGCAGAGCTGTGATCTCCATCTTGTTCTTATTCTATATTTTTAAGTATACTGTGAAGCTAACTAGCTTAAATCGTGTGAAATGACAGAAAAAATTAAGGGTGTGGCAATTTACTCATATAAAGCTGGATTTTCTTTTATTTCAGATTCTTTGTTCAATATGTGTTCTAAATTTGAAATATAAAAAGAAATGCATATGTGTAGATCATGGCTCTGAACTCTTAGAGAGTTCACTCATTTAGTAGGGAGCAATTAAGTAATTTAATGGAGAGATTTATGTGTGCTTATGCAGAAGTGACTGGTACTTTTGCAAATAGCTGTTGCAACTCAATTAAAAAGTATTTGTGTACAGATGACTTTCTGTTTCTTTCCAGTCGCCACAAAAGTCATTTTACATTTAAAAAGGATAAATCCTTTTCTAGCTTAGATATTAGTAATGTCACATTAAACAAATTAATATTAATATCTAACTATATATTATTCTATATATAATTTAAAATATAATTCTAGACAGCCAATATATTAACATAATTAATCATCTCATAATTATATGTTACACAGACAGAAGAGATGCTTGAGTCATTTCCACAGAACCAAGAAAACACAGAGTCATTGTGGTGCCTAGATGACCTGAATGAGCACCAACAGGAACAGCCCAGGTCCAGAGAGCAGCCAGCTGTTCATCTAAATAAAGCTGAAAGTAAGTGCCTTGACTTTGGTCACTGAGGCAGGAGATGTTTTAGTCTTAAAAGAGAAACTTTGAGCAGGGTGGTGTTGGCGCAAGCCTTTAATCCCAGCACTCGGGAGGCAGAGGCAGGCAGATCTCTGTGAGTTCGAGGCCGGGCTGGACCGACAGCCTCCAAAACAATACAGAGAAACCCTGTCTCATAAAAACAAAAACAAAAAAAAGAGAAACTTTGACCTACAGTCAGGTTTGTAAACCCCCAGTCTACTTTAAAGTCACCACTGAAAAATAGTTATGGTGTGTCCTCTGAGTTCCTATAAGCAATTAAAAAAATTAGCAAGGCACACATGAACATTAGAAAAAGAATTTATAGAATCAGAGCTGACATTTAAAAATTTCAATGGTGCAAATGTAGATGGTGGTGAGTCTGAGGTAGTTTCTTCAAAATGAGAAAACTGAGGCTAAAGCTGTTGTTTCTAAGGTGTAAGGTCATAATTAAATGATATTGGTAACTTTAACCTCAAAATCGCTCTTCTGTTTTCTCAGGCAGTTTAGGGTGCTGGCCTTCTAGAATTGCTTATAATATCAGCCTTCTCTAGTAAATCTTAAATGTGGCTAAATTCAAAACACATGATGTATTTTAGATTGAGTCTATTTCCATATGTATAATAAACTATATTACATATGTGTGTTGTGTTCTTTATTATAGCAAACTACTAGACATTTTAGGAAGATTTCATGTTTATGTACAGTAAGCAAGGAAACTTCCTGCAACATGACAGCAAAGCTCGGCAACAGGCTTTTACTAGGATGAAGTGACTGAGAGTTTTGCTAATAGGATGGTTTTATTGTTACTATTAGAATCTGATGGTTAGCTTGGCCTAGATGTACACATCTGCTATCTCAACACTTAGAAGGCTGAGGCAGGAGCATCACAATGTTCAAGGCTACCTTTGGGTATGCTAGTGAGACCCTGCTTCAAAAAACAAAGCCTCATTGTGAATTTAAATTGGAGGCAATTCCATTCCCCTACATTGTGTCTCATAGGTATTATTGATGGGAATTTGGATGAAAGAATTCTTTTGGAAAGAGAAATTCAGGAAAACGCCTGCACGATAGATCATCTAGAGCACGAGTTGCTGTGCATGAGCGGGAGAGTTTCAAAACTCGAAGAAGAGCAACAGCAAATACAGGAGGAGCGAGCATTGCTGTCCAGGCAGAAGGAGGCCATGGGAGCAGGGGCTGGCCCAGTGGAGCAGCGTATGTACTGAGACTTTGTGTCTTATAGTTCCTCTCCTGTCTTTACTCTTCAGATGCTCATGTGACAGACTATCCTCTCCAGTGGTGTTATTTGTATGTTTCACAGACAAACTTGAAAAATCATAAGAAAATATACTCGAAAGGCAAATGAGTTTTTAGTCATTTTTATGTAATCATATTTACTATTTTGCCTTTTAAGGCTATTAACTATTAACAGGACAATAGAATTATTCATTTATTCTCAATCATCTGTATCAAAAAGAAAAAAGCTACATTTGTTGAGGCTGCATGCTTAGGAAATGGGTAAAGAGAGATCTTTAGTGGGAGACAGGTCATGAGTGTGTTGTGAACCCTCATCTGCTGCTGGTCATGAGCAGGTGTGGGCAGTGTGGGCTTGCAAGCCAGAGAGAGCAGAAGACATCTGACATCTCATTTAGAAGCATTCACAGAACATTTAACTGCATAATGGCTGATATTTACATCTTGATTTTATAGCTTGTTGAGTGGGATATATGTCTTTGTGATTATGGCCTTTAAATTCTCCTTATCAAACCTTTGATTTTCAATGCACAGTTGGAATCTATAAATTTTGAGTTTCTCAAATTTGATAACCTTAGAAATAAAATATCCAGTTTCTCCTGGGGGGGGTGCTCTGAGTAGTTTGGCAGAGATTTAGTGCTGGAATTTTTAAGGTTTAAAGATCTCATGTCATACATACAACATATGCAAGAGATGTGGAACTGTGTGTAGCAGTGACAAGCAATGACATTAGCATTTTAATGTGTGCAGATGTGAAATTTGTGTGCGGATGTGAAATTTGGGTGACTCTTGATTTTCAACTAACAGTTCTAATTTATAGATGTCTGTTGTGTTCCTTTCATTTTCTTTTAACAGAACACAGCATGTTTTACAGTAAAAATATGTTGTGATTTGCTACTAAAACCTGAGGTTCATCGTTACCATAATCATATTTCATCTGTTTTGCACAGAGCACAAACTCATTGGGATTTTTTCAAAGAAAAATTGAGTATCTTTAAGAAACAAAGTATTTTTTCTTTTCAAAAATTTATTATTATCATTTTATTTCATTTTCCTTCTAAAAGAATCTTATTCAGATACCAATCCCAGCTCCTCTACCACCCATCCTCCCTCTCCTACCACCATCTCCCATCTCCACCCCATCTACTGCTGAGACAGGATGAGGCCTCCCATGGGGAATCCTCCAAGTCTATCACATCATATGGGGCAGGTACAAGGCCCTCTCCCCTGCATATCAGTCAAGCAGGGTATCCATCCATAGGAAATGGTATAAAAAGCCAGTTCATGCACCTGGGATAATTACTGATATCACTACCAGCAGGTCCCTAGTCTCTCCAGACCTCCCAAATTTCGCCCACATTCAGGGAGCCTGGTTCAGTCTTATACAGGTTGGCCAGCTGTCAGTGTGGCCTCATCTCCTAGTTGCTTGAAAGCTGTTTCTGTGGGTTTCCCCAATATGGTCTTGACTCCTTTGCTCATATTATCACCCCTCCCTCTCTACTGCTGATCTCCAAGTGTTAGAAACCCTACTTAGCTGAGGATCTTTGTATGTGCTTCCATCAGTTACTGGATGAAGGCACTATAATGTCAGTTAAGGTAGTCATCAATCTGATTACAGGGGAAGGGCAGTTAAGGAAGCCTCTCCACTGTTGCTAAGGTTCTTCATTGGGGTCATCCTTGTGGATTCCTGGGAAAGTCCCTAGTGCTAGGTTTCTCGACACCTGATAATAGCTCCTGCTGTCAATTTCTCTTGCCGTGCTCTCCCTCTCTGTCCTTCCCCCACTGGAGGGAAGGCTTATCTGTTAAAGGCTAGGCTCACATCTAAAAAGAAGCAAACTCTTTTTCTTTTTTGAATATATTAAGTCTATGGTCTTCAATTTTTTTCATAGTTTTCCTTGCTAAACAGAGAAGTTGGTAAGCTCATGGTATCAAATAGATCAAATGATTTACTAAGAGGCATTTTTGGCTGTTTTGCTTTGATATTAACATATAATAATGGCATTATCTACAGATCCCAGATCTGAAAACAGTGTTGGCACATTAGTCAGTGTAAAATTTCTACAAGGTTCTTTTATTTTTATATTTGCTGTCTGTATTTTATCACCTACATTAACAATAAATACATTCACAAAGTCCTTTCTATACCCCAGACTCTAATCTTTACACTCATTAGTTCATTTCATGCCCAATTGTTCAGATAACAAAACTGAAGACAATCTTATCAAATGTCACACATGAGAAAAGTAGTAGACGTAGGAAATGAATCTGCTCTCATGCACTAACCACATGGATCCCCATATGTGCTTGTGTTCCCTTGTTGCACAAACTTATACACATGAACAGGGACCTGAGGGACATGGACCTAATGTGAAAAAGTACAAGACTAATCAGAAACCCTGACTGTCATATCCTTCCTCTTTCTGTTCCCTTTTCTCAGTTAACATTTTAACCCTATCTGCTTACTGTATTCATTGTGTATGCACATACAGGTGAGTATTTGCTTTGGAATGTACTTAGTTTTGCCTATGGTCAAAAATGTAGTCAGTGTTTTATGTTTTAATTCAATTGAACTTTGTTCTTTTCCTAATCATAAAAATGTTTTATTCTGTATTTACTACATTGTTCTCACAAACATACTTTTTGTAACAGAAACTCTGAACAAAGGACACATGGACCCGGAGCAACTGCACACTGTACCTATGGAAAGTGTTGGCATGACTGCCGATGAGCTCCAGGCTGATGCACTGAAGCCAGAAGATGTCTCTGCCCAGGACTCTTCTGAGCTTCTAAAGACCCTGACTCCTGTCGGTGGCCTTAAACAAAGCTGCAAAGGTTACAGAAGTCTAGAAACACAGTTACTAACCCTGGAGCAAGGAAAGTCAAAACCAGAACTTCTTCAAAAGAAGATCAATATTCTTCAAAATTTACTAGTAGAGAAAATAGCTGAAGCCACCGTTAATCAAGCACAAATGGAGGCCTTTCAGCAGTACGTGAAGTACTTCCAAGAGAAGAGAACATCAGAACCAGAAATGAGAGATAGGCACAATGTAAATCCTCTGAAAGGAGACAACACAGGAATAGACATCTTCACATTAACTTTGAGACTAGCACAGTTAGAGAACCAAGTAGCTGAAATGCGTTCTAGTTTCATTAAAGAGAAACAACAATGCGAAATTACAGAGAAAAGGGTTTCTGATATAGAAAAAGTACTGAAGCTACAGATGCCTCTAGGCGAGGACACTACAAAAAGGCAAGAGATTAAAGAAAACGAAAGAAGCCTTCAAGATTTGGATATATCTGAGGTTAGTTTTCATTCAAGATTTGAATATCTCTGAGGTTAGTTTTCAGTGCTTTTTTTCACTTAAATATTCTAGGTAACTTTTTATCTTTGTTCATTAATTTGACTGATACTTTACTAATAAGTCTGGTATTTGGTTCATATCAAACAACTTATATCTAGTGAGACTTCAGGAGAATACACTGTTCCTAAAGGAGAGGCTTCAGTTCATTTGAATCAGAAATTGTGGTTCATGAATTTTGTGGCACTTGGTCTCAGAAAGCTCCACCCTGAGACAACAGGGTTACTTCCAGACAGGACTCCCAATAAGGTGCAGGGGTGCCTTGCATGGTTATGGCAAAGACTTTGGGGGTGATCTATTGGCTACCTGAAGCCCAGCTGCTCACAATTGGCCCCATGAGGTTTAGCTGTTAAATTCCTCCCATGTTAGGCTTTTCATTTGCTGACAGACTATATTAGATGCTGTTCCCAACACTAGAACAAAAGCTATAGACACAGGTCAAATTATGTTTAACACTGTGTGTAGTTTTATTACTATTATAGAAGCAAGAGCAAACTATGTTCTGTGGTCTTCAAATATGATTATCAGTTCTAGTATTAAAGTTACTCACTGAAACAAAAGAAATATAAAAATACTACATGGCAGCTGAATTCTCTAGGACTTGTGTGGGATGTACTGCCTTAGATTCTTTCTAGCACATATCCTTTGTTACCATCTCTTTTAAGAAGTGAAAGTTTTCACAGTAATATTCTACTAAGTTAATGTGGGAATGTCATTAGCTCTTGGAAATCATATACCTAATGAGATTTCTTTGTTTTGAGGAGGAAAAATGTGTTGGAGATCTTATTAGGTAGAGGTCTGCAACCATAGTTACTTCTAACCACACAAAAGACAACTCAAGGAATTTTAGTTTCTCAGTATTTACAATCTAAAGTAATAGAAATGTGGTATTTATATTAATGAATTTATATTTCAAATGGCAATATTTTCACATATGGGACTTCTCCTACCAGCACTTGTAACTATTTTACTGTGGATACTAAATATTAAATTAGTAATAAGACTTTCCACCTATAACATCTAAGAAATAGTTTAGTCAATTCTGGCACTATTTGAGAAACATGACATAAATTTGAAATTTTGAATGTCAATAAAATATGTTAACACACACATACATATGACATGATTTACCTTCATCCTCAAAAAATTGATTTTATTATCTCCATAGAAAGTGATGGTTCCTAAAGGCATCCTTGCTGGTTTTAACAAGCGCTGACCTCTTGACCTCTGACTGGAGGCAGTCATCCTTAGCAAAAGTACATTATAGTCTAGGAGAGTTTTGGGCAATCATGTTTCTCATGGTTTCTGAATGGTCTTCTCCTTCCAACTCTCACTCAGACAAGAGGTGATCTAATTCATGCCAGTGGAGACCGTGGATTTTTGGATGAACTTGAAGCTCATGGAGCCGGATCTGTGTCTCACAAAGAACGAGACCTTATAAAGAACAAGCAGACAGCCATGAAGAGCTTTTGGTAAGATGAGCAACACAGCCCCTAATGCATCCAGTTCTACCTCTCTTCATTTCCTCTCAGTGCATTCCCTAGATGTGTACCTTAAACATCAGTGGCAGGGAAAATCTTTCTGGATTTAAAGAAAACTTCCATTGCTATATTTCTCTATCAGTGCCTGCTTGTTTGGTTGTCCTTGGAAATACTGGCTGAGGGGATGCATTTATTCTATATGCTGTGATGGAGGAGAAAGGTGTGTGTTAAACAGAACCAAAGATGCCATGAAAACAAAAAGTGATAATATACGTGCACTTCTCCCTGTTCTGACCAGTGTGGACAAAGTGTGTGGAGACTGTGAGGACTGTGGGTGATTTTCCTGTTTCCATGCAAGTGAGACTTGAAGCATGGACTGTCCTCTTTGTGTTCATCCTTCGATTGTTTGTTTTGGGGGCTTTGCTTTGTATATTTGATTGAAGAGAACAGGACAAATTATTCTGTACTCTGTAGGTGTTTCAAGGTTGCTAAATACGTACTGGTACCACTTTTCATTTTCGTGAAAAGGACATTTGGTGAAAATTTATGTAAGAACCCCATGTTAGATAGCATAGTAATGTTCATCACACTTGCCAAGATAATTGTGCTGTGTAGAATGCTTTGGCACAGAGAGATATCTCAGCAGGTAAGGACATTGACTGCCCAGCCCAGCAACCTCAGTCTGACCCTGAAACCCACATGGTGGGAGGAGAAAACCAATCCCCACAGATTGTCCTCTGACTCGCAGATGCTCACTGTGGAGCGGAAGCATGTACACAGACACAACCGATGAGTTAGTAAATAAATAATCAAAAGAAGATTGTTCTGCTTTCTAGGAAATTCACAGCAATATTTAGAAATTAAGGCCCATCTGTCTGTAATGAGCCCACCCAATTTTTTTGGACAAAATGTTTTGAGAAAATTCAATAACAAAATAGATACAGGGGCCAGGGATTGGGGAGGGGAGAGTGGTTCATGCCATTAATCTCCGTACTTAGGGTGAAGAGGCAAGTGCATCTCTGTGAGTTTAAGGCCAGCCTGCTCTACAAGATCTAGTTCCAAGACAGTTAGGTCTACACAGAGAAACCCTGTCTCAAAAAAAATTACCATGTGCATTCTTTTCTTTCTCATTCTGACATCCTGGTTGTTAATTCCATTATATCTACACCTCTCTTCACTTAATTTTCATTTTTCTTTGTTACAGGGTAGTGAATATGGAAAGTCTGTGGAATGTCTCCATAAAGCTGACAGAAGGACTTCGTAAGCTGAAAATCACACATTAAATACACATATTAGTAGAAGGAAAATGACTGGGAAGAGAGAACAAGACACTTCAAGCCACAGTGTTTGCAAGAGCACTAGCATGGATTTACAGCCAGCTGGAAGCATTCAGTTTGTTGCTCCGTAAAAATGTTTAATTCAGGCAAATTATCTCATTGCACACAGGAGATAATTGATAGTATTACTATCAGTGTTAATAGTTTTCAAATTGTTTTTAAATATCTATGTTTTATTTTAAATAAAGAAATAGTACGTTGTTATGGTTCAGCTCTTTGGGTATTCATTGAAAAGTTTTTTGTTTTTGTTTTTTTTAGAAGAATCTTTTGATCCTCTAAAGTTGTCTACATAAAATAAAAGGGAATTCACAATAAAAAATAGCTGTTTATTTTAAATTCTAATTTTTGTATGTATAGGATATCGGTCCAAGAGAGCTCTAGCATTAAACCAATAGGAACCTGTCCAGTCAAGACTCCAAATGTCCACTACACTGATAACAGAAGGGATTTAATACACCCCAAATAACATCTCTACTGAAACCAAAATCTACAATTGCAGAAGCTGTGTAATTATAAAATGCACAGGGAAATAAATCCATAAGGAGACACTAAATATGGGTGTGAGGAGACTAAGAATCACCAAGTTCAGCCCTTTCTCACCTCAAAACAACTCAAGTCAATCCTAGATCATCAATACTAAAGTCATTATGGTTT